ATTATTATCAAATTATTATTATCTTGATAATAATTGTTTAATTTTAAAAATAAAATAAAATAAGCAATATATGTTTTGCAGAATAAATTTTATTAAATCTTGCATGATTAAATAATAATGAAAAGTTTAGCAAATAAATGCTGTTAATTAAACTTTTATAAGGTTAACTCTTTTGCTACTAGCTGTTGAAAAAGTATGCATACACGAAAAAAGAAAAAAGTTGCTTGCGGTACTGTTAAATAATATAGAATAATTTTTTTAACAAAAATCTTAATAAGGATAATAATCATTTAATAACAATAAATAAAACACAAAAATAATTTATAGCAATAAACGAGCATAAAATATCTGAAATATTTTTTTTCATATTTTTAATGCAAACTTCACAAAAATTAAAAATAAAATAACTAAAGAAATTCTACAGCAATTTATGATGAAAAAATATTTGTATAATAATAAGTAACTAAAATTCTTTAGTAATTTATAATTAAAAAAAAAAATTCTATAATTTGATCAAAAAAAAAAAAAAAAAAAAGAATTTTAAGATTTCTTATCAAAATTCTACAATGAGGTCATTTACTAAAACTTTTTGGAATTAAATGTACTTGAATAATTTATAGTCTGTAGATAGCAACATAAATTTTCAAGACGTTGAGGAGCTGGCTGACATGGAGACAGCAAGCTTCGAATAAAACAACAAAGTTTGTTTTTCTTGCAACAACTTTATTATTTTGTTTTACTTAAAAAAATTAAATAACGTCTGTTGGTTAAAAAAATTATTTTATTCATTATTAAAAGTTTATTAATCATAGTAACGTCATAGTAACGCTTTTATAATAATAATCTAAATTGAAAATGATTTCTAAAATGACATTCTAAAATCTCTCTTTCTCAATCTTCTTCTCTCAGTGAAGTGATTTTTCTTTTTTTTTGAAATCTTGCTACTGAAGAAATATTATTTATAGGAAGAACTGACAAAGGAGCTTCATCATTTGTCATGGTTTTACTGTAATTACTCCTTCATGCTAAAAAAACTTTCATTAATCTAGTTTTTTTTTCTCAAACATCAATTATTTAGAATTCTCTCATTATTACCAACTCATACAATTTGCAATTTTTTCTTTGCTTTTTAGTAACTCCTAACTTAAAAAGGAGTTGAAAATTTATTAAAATAACAAACTTTTTAGTTACGGAGAAGTTGTTCGATAGTTACTTAAGTTTGGCGGTCATGTCCGACAAAACCTAACAATAAAATTTAGTTTAAAGAAAGAAGTGCAATCGCACACTATTTGTGACCACAAATAAAATGTTTTGTTTTTACATGGCAGCTAGCATTTTTGACAACATTGTTTCAAAAGTGTTTCAAAAATGCCTTGAAAATTAAAAAAATTTTTAAAAGATTAAATTAAAAGAAAACTTAAAATATTGAACTAAAAAAAGAATGTTTTAAAGAGAGAAAAAAAAAAAACTAAACTTAAAAAACTAAAATTAAAAAAAAAAATTTTATATTAAATTTTTTTATAATTAAAAAAAAAACCTTTTTATACTAAGCGAAATGCTTTGCAAATTATTATAAATTATAAACATATTATTTACATAAACTATTATATTTACTTATTACTGTGTTGAGTAAAGTAACAATTTACTTCTAACGATTGTTTACAACAAACACATTTTATTTAAATTATTAAAGAATTTTATAGGTAATTTTATTCAGGGCAGTGACTAGGGCTGGCGGCACCCAATGCAAACATAGTTGCAATGCCCCACCTCCCTCCAGTAATAGTCAAAGAGGCCTGACTATTACAGGAGAATAACCTGCCTTAGGCTTTTGCGCCCAGGGCAGCTTACCTCAGCTGTACCCCTTCTCCTAGGCATGGCCCCAATTTCATATATATAAATATGTATTTTTCAGGGATGCAGAGTTCCAAAAGGACTGCAGCTTTATATTTCTAGTTTTTTCAAGTCTGTAGTGTTCAGAAGCTCTAAACATGTTTGTTGACTTATGATCTGCTATAAGAAAAAAACTCATGAGATTTAATCACTTGAAACTTATTGTTTTTATACCCAGAGTCCTAAAACCCCAGAGTCCTTGCCGCCATTATACCTAAGGACTCCAGGTTCAAAGAATGATTGTTAATCTAACCTAAAAGTCTTAATATTTTTCCTATTAGTAGTCCATAAACTTATTTATATTTTTAGAGTTCCTGAATACCAAAAACTAAGATAAAGTAATCTTTTTGTGACATCCAAATCCGCAGTCCTATATGCGACTCTGTATCCCTGGTTTTTTTTATGATAAATCTTTTCAAACTTTTTCTATGATTAATTTGATAAACACTAATAATAGCGAAAAAACTTTAGTGTGAAAACAAACAATATGAAACGTAACTCAAATTTAATAAAAAGTACTGATTTCTATAAGCATTACAATTACCATTACATTAAATTTTTTTATAAAATAAATTTAAAAGGGGTTTTAAAAGCTAAAATATTCATTTAAAATTTGTAAACACCATCGGACAAAAAATTGAAAAAAAAAACTAAAATATAATTTTAAATTAATAATAATTAATTGTTAAAGGTTTTCGATTACAAAACTTCACACAGTTTTCTGTAAGTTCTCCTTAACAACATAACTTAATGTTTTTTGTTTTTTTTACCTTGTATCTTCTCAAAAAATAAATTGTAATATTATTTTATTTTATTATATTACATTGTACATTGAATATATCATATTATATATTGAATATATCATTTTATTAAATCGAATATATCATATTATTATTTCAATTATTTTTGAAGCATTTTGAATGCACTTGTAAATAAAAGCATTTCCTGTTATAAAAGTATATAGAAAAAAAAAATTTATAATATAAATTTAATTATAAAAACAATATAAAAAAAATTTATAACATAAATTTGAAAAAAAAGCAAATTAAATATTTAGCATCTTTTAAAAAATGAATCAGCTCAAAAAAAATGATGCTTTTTAATAATGTAAAAAATGAATCAGTTCAAAAAATGATGCTTTTCAATAATGTAACTGTGTTTTCAACTTAATTTTCTGTTTTGTATAAAAAATAGAAAGTTCAAAAAATAAAGTTTATATACTATACTGAAATTACTAATAATTTTGGAACCACTAAAATATTTATAATGCACACAAAATATGGGTCGGACATGTGTTTTTTAGAATTACTATAACACCACATCCAAATGTGGTGTTATAGTAATTCTAAAAAACACATTCTAATTAGTATGGGCAAGACATCTATTTTAACACTTACATCTGTGTGTTGTAAACTAGAAATTGTAGAAAACAAAAGTGTTGTAAACAATCATTTTTCAACTTATATTATAACTTATATTTTAAGTAAATATAAGTAAGTTCTGAAGTAATATCTTTTTTACTAAAATATAAATTATTACCCAATAAAATAATTACCAATAAGTAATTGTAATAATAATAAATAATTGTAATATCAGAGTGTCTGCCAATATTGTAAGGTGGATTTCCACTTCCTCCCTGATCCTCAACCTGTTCATTTGATTTTTTTTTCAATTACGAGCCATTCAAGTCTCGGAGAGAGTATAATGAGAATTAGGGTGTAGTACATGGACAAATCATGTGCAGTTTAAGATAAAGCCCCACTTTTACATTAATTATGTTGCTGTTAGTATTTAAAATGTTTATTAACAATAGTATAATTATTTACTAACAATAGTATAACAATAATACTTTATTCTTATTTACTCTATAAACTAGAGAAAAAAAATTGTGAACAAAAGGAACTGAATTATGGACAAAAGTAATGTTGAAGTAAAACTAAAAGCTTAAATCAACTTATATATTCAAAAACAAAAATTGACATTAAATAAGTCAGGTAATAAAAAAAAAATCAAATACTGAAAGAATGATAAAAAAAGGTTAAGTTACAACACTTTAAAAAAGTTACAACATTTTAAAAAGCAAATAAAAAGTCATGAGCTATCATATAGTCATGTACAATTCTCTGGCTTATTAATGATTAAAAGTCATGAGCTATCACATAGTCATGTGCAATTCTCTGGCTTATTAATGATTCATTAAAATAGGTAGTAACATGTTATTGTTGGTGTTGGATCCTTTTTCAACTGCCACTTAACCATGAAAAAAAAAATCAAACACAATCTTGCTTAATTTAGGCAATTCAGGATAATTATCTAAACCTCCAACTTTGGAAAAGAAAAACTCATCTAATCTATTTTATTGAAATTCAAGAAAAGTTCCCTGTTTTTGGAGACAATCTTTTCTCAGTTTTTCTTAAATTCTATGTTTAACTCATTGTCAGTTCATGGAAAAACTTAATGCTATTGAATAAAATTATTGGCCTAACTCTTTATCCTTTCCTTTTTTTCTCATTTATCTCATTTAATTAATATAATGACTTATTTTAACAAAGATTTTTGAATAAAATCTAATTGGCAGAGTTTTACATTGATCTAAAATATTGACTTTAACTTTGACATTAACCACCTGTTGAACAGAACAGAAAACCTTTTAAACCTGTTGTTATTCAAAAATAACAACAGGTAGTCTTATGGTTGTTCATTGTTGACTATTTTTTAGTTTGCATAATTTTTACATCAACTTTCAAGAGTGTCTTTACACAAGCCTTTTGATACTTCAATAGCTTTTTTTAAAATTTGTCAATTTCGTTATTTAGCTAACTATGACAAAACTCTTTTTGTTGTTTTTTATTTTAATTATAACTATAATGCAAAAAAATAAAAAAATAAAAACTTATTAAGTGAATAACATGTTTAGTCATTTTTTCCTGATTTCTCTATGATTTTTCAACCTAATTTCCCTGATTTTTCACTAATTTCTCCATGATTTTTCCACCCGATTTCCCTGATTTTTCACTGATTTTTTTACAGTTATTCTTGGTTTTACCTGTTTTCCCTAATCTGGCAGACACCCTGAATAATAAATAAGAAATAAGATGTAAATTTACCCTTTTAATAATTCATGTGTAATAACAGCTTTCCAATTTTTTTTGGCTTCCATTTGATTAGGATTTGATTGTCTATATTTAAATTTCATTTATAATTTATTATCATGTTATATGTATGGTAATAAAAAAAATTTATCAACCTTGGAATGTGGACCACTTCAGTCAATACCATCTCTATAAAAATAATTGAACCATTTAGTAAACAAGAACTTCCCCAACCTTTCCAAAATACACCAAAACCCTAAATTAAAAAAATAATGCTTTTAATGAAATGAAATTTAAAAAAATACAAGAAACTTTAACATAAAACTAAAAAAAAATTACTAATTTTTATTGTAACTGTGCATGACTATTTTTATTGTAACTGTGCATGACTATTTTTATTGTAACTGTGCATGACTATTTTTATTGTAACTGTGCATGACTATTTTTATTGTAACTGTGCATGACTATTTTTATTGTAACTGTGCATGACTATTTTTATTGTAACTGTGCATGACTATTTTTATTGTAACTGTGCATGACTATTTTTATTGTAACTGTGCATGACTATTTTTATTGTAACTGTGCATGACTATTTTTATTGTAACTGTGCATGACTATTTTTATTGTAACTGTGCATGACTATTTTTATTGTAACTGTGCATGACTATTTTTATTGTAACTGTGCATGACTATTTTTATTGTAACTGTGCATGACTATTTTTATTGTAACTGTGCATGACTATTTTTATTGTAACTGTGCATGACTATTTTTATTGTAACTGTGCATGACTATTTTTATTGACTATTTTGTATATAATATTATGTATATAATATGGAACTCATCAATTTTAAAAATAAAACATTAAAAGTTACAAATTAAAAATCAGTTACAAATAAAAATCTTATGAATCAATAATTATAATTAACTTAATGATGAAACTATTTTATTATATCATTAATATATAATATTGTACAAGCTATCAATCTAAATTCATTTATTCATTGTTATTATAACTATTTATTTTTTTATATATATTTACAATAAAAAGGTTAAAAAAATAGTTATTTACTATCTTACATATATTTACAGAATTAAAACAGATCTTATTTGTTAAAAGTTTAATTTGTTTTTTCTCTCATTCTACAGTTCAAATAGTAAAAGACACAATACTTATTTATTATTATTATTATTTTTAAATTATGCTTCACTCCCAACAAGGCTGAAAGCAACCACTATTAAGTTGGAAGTTACTAGAAAAAAAGAATAAAGTTATGGAGCAAGGAAACAGTTGACAGAAGACTTAAAAAGATGAAGGTTGTATGAGCCGAGAAAACATGAAGATGGGAGAGAGTTCTAAAGGGATGAGGTGCACGGAAAAAAAGTAGAGGAATAAAAGTTTTGAGAGCATGCAGGTACAGATACAGTATAAATAATGAGATTTGCTGGATGACAAGTCAAGCGAAAATGAGTTTTAGTTGATGGAACTAGAGATGATAGCTCCTTTGAACAGTGACTATAAAAGAAAAAAAAATGCAAATTTACAATAATTGTAAAGAGGCTCAACTTTAGCAGATAGAGCGAGTCCAACTAAATTTACAATGCATTTTTGGACCTTGTCTAGAAGAGAAAGAGCATCATTAGAAGAACCAGTCCAAACATGACAGCAGTATTTCATACAGGGACGAATAAGAGATTTGTAGAGGTAGAGAATGGAATTAGGAGAGAGAAAATGACAAGCACAATAAAGGGAAGCAACCTTAGCAAATGCTAATTTAGAAAATAGAAAAAAACAATTTGATATTCTCAAAAACTTTCCCAGATATACCATTTGAAACAAGCTTATAGAGAAGATCAGCATTCTAAACTTTGTCCAAAGCATTAGATATGTCAAGAGCCCCAGCCTCTCCGCCTCCATATAACATACAACAAAATCATTCAGTCATTCAGCCATATTGATTGTCTATTAACTATAAATATAAATATTCTGACCAATATATATATATATATATATATATATATATATATATATATATATATATATATATATATATATATATATATATATATATATATATATATATATATATATATATATATATATATATATATATATATATACATATATATATATATATATATATATATATATATATATATATATACATATATATATATATATACATATATATATATATATATATCTCCTCAGCGGATATAAATATATAGCCTCCTAAAATGAACTTGGGGAGCTGTGTGAGCTGCTCCGTATTTAAATCAGCGATCTTTTTTAATTTTAATTTTTTTTTGCAACAACCGTGCCTTTTAAAAAGTATTTAAGTATATTATGCAATTAACTTTTTCTAAATGACATTGTGTCTTTTATTTTATTTAAAATGATAATTATACTTTTATGAGAAAAATTATACTTTTTTGAAAGCTGTAAATAGCTCTCGTAAACCGTTTCAGGAAAGTGTGGGCGGGAGCAAGAGCTAAAGATCTCGCTTCCCGCCAAGGCTTGTATATATATATATATTGTATATATGTACTTATATATATATATATATATATATATATATATATAATATATATATATATATATATATATATATATATATATATATATATATATATTAGGGTAATAACCTTTTGGTATCTCCAGTTTCCTGTATAAAAAAGTGTATAACTTAGGTTTTGAAGTAATTGAAAAGTCATTGGTTTTATTTAATTTTAGAAAAAGTTTACCCACCATGACCCTTGATTACACACATTTATAGTGATTTTAAAATTCATAATCTTTTTTACTGAAACTTTTAAAAAAAAAAATATTACAAACAAAATGTCATAAAAAAAAAACTTTTTAATTTTTAGTTAAAAATAGTTGTTTATTAGTATAAAGAATTTTAGCAATTAAATTTTAAAACTATTATTATTTCTGCTATCTCTATGAAATTCTGGTTCTTTTGAGACCAAGGTTGATATACTTTTGAAGAAAAAAAATTCACTATATATATATATATATATATATATATATATATATATATATATATATATATATATATATATATTCCGACCTCTAGAAGATTGAGGTCGACAAATTATTGCCAACCTCATTTTTCCTAATTCCGAGGGTTGCATATACAACCCTCGGTAATATTTGCTTAGTCAAGGTTACGGTTTATATTTTTGTTTTAGATTGTTATGGGATGAAGGATGTTTTGTTAATGTTTTTATTAATTTGTTTTTAGTTAATAGTTGTGAAATGGTTATAGGTTTTAATGCTTGTTTAAAATATTCCTTTACAGTATTGGACAAAACATTTGCAACCAACTTTAAACAATGCTATAAAAGTGTTCCTAATTTTACATGTCTTAAAAACGAAACGAACTATACTACCACAGCAAACAGTTCAGGAGTCTGGAGTCATAGCATGCCATGACATGAGCAATCAGCTGACAGGTGACAACAAACAGGCAGAAATTTGTTGACAAGAGCCATTTTGCAGCGGACAAAACAAGTGCAACTTTTTTGGTTTGTTTCATTTTCTTAAGTCTGGTCCATGTCAACACCACAGAAGTTTTTTAATAATTAAAGGAAGTATCCAGAAGTTTCCAGAAGCATGCAGAAGCTTCCAGAAGTTTCCAGAAGAAGCATCTGGAAGCATCCAGAAGCATCTAGAAGTATCCAGAAACATTGAAAAGAAGCATTGAAAAGAAGCATCTAGAATCTTGCAGAACAGGTTCACAATGGTTCATTTTACTATATAAGAGACATGTAAACCAACATGTAATTCAGTCAGTATATGGAAGTCAATCAGTCAGTATTATCAAGACAGTTTATCGAAGTGAGTTTTATCAAAATGTTTTATCGAAGAATATCAATACAAAAAGTAAAATACAACACTTGTTGTATTTCACTTCTTGTATTGTATTCTCGACGCCCTGCAAAGAAACCGCTGATTTCACTAAAGAACTAGAAGAAAAGACTCCTGTTGCTACATCTCATATTGACTGGAATGTGCAAAAATGGCGAACTGTCCTGTTCAGTGATGAATCGAAGTTCAACATCATTGGGAGCAATGGCATTTGCCATGTACATCGACCGGCCGGAAAACGCCTCGATTTATGTTACTGCCATAAGACCATGAAGCATGGTGGAGGCAATGTAATGGTCTGGGGGTGTTTTCTGCTAACAGTCAAGGTCCAATACATCGAATTGATGGAATAATGGACCGTTTCATGTATAAAAATATCCTGAAAGATGTTATGTTACCTCATGCTGAATGGAATATGCCAATAAAATGGGTTTTTCAGCAAGACAACAATTCAAAACACACTGCAAAAGTAGTCAAGCAGTGGTTCAAGACAACCACCTATCGGTGATGGATTGGCCGCTTCAATCTCCAGATCTCAACCATATTCATAACCAGAATTAATCGTGAAGGTGTTCGTAACAAAGATCAACTGTTTGATAAAATCTCAAAGGCCTGGGCAGCGATTCCACAAAGTTTCATTGATCACCTGATCGAATCTATGCCTCGAAGATGCAAGGCTGTGATTGGCAACAAAGGATTCGCCACGAAATATTGATAGCAAAATACAGCTTGGTCATATTTTGTGGAGTTGCACCTGTTTTGTCCAGAAGGAAATCAACTTATTTAAATAATTTTTATTAATTTATTAATTTTCGTGTACAAATAATGAACTTTGCGATGAATAAAACTTGAAGAACGTTGTCTATAAACAGTTACATAGTTATTTCTCTAAATTGAAAAAATGCAGCACTTTTATATAAAGAAACTAAATTATCATTATTTGGTTGCACTTGTTTCGTCCGATACTGTATGTGCGCATTATTTATATATTTAAAAATGTATAACTAAACATTTATATGAAAATATAAATAATATTATGAAATATAATACAATAGCTATGTATGTAAGTAATTTATTAGTTAGCCTTGAGATATATGAATTAGAGTAATATAGTTATTGTAAGTTTTTAGTTAGATTTGTAGTTTGTTATTTTTTTAATAAGAATTTATTTTCATGGCGGCACTTTGATATCATTTCGGTACTTTTATTTAGCAGTTCCTAAAGTTTTGTATGTAATATAATAGCAAATTATATCACATAGCAAAAAATCTCATATAGACATAGTGGGCACCCTTTGGAAATATTTGAGTAGGAGTCACTAAAATTGATTTTCAAATCCCAGATGTAGTTTTATAGGGCGGTGGTTCTTTTGTATTTGACATTA